ACAAACAAACAAAAAAGAACAAAACAAAGCCATCCAAATGGTTTTCATTCTGTGTCACCTTTCCTCCCAGCATCTTTTATTTATGTAACGTTTATTCTATTTATAAATGTGCATGGCTTTGTCCTTGGCTATATAAAGTATATGGCCAGAATGAAGACATAAGAGGTTAGGCTTGTTAAATTTATAAATGTCAAAAAGCCAGAAAGGAAAGCTAATCCCTTGGATGACGGAATCATGATTCAAGAAGATCTCAAGTTTTAACTATGGCTACATTCAAGGAGATGAAATTTAATAGGGGGCAATGGTAAAATACTGCTTCAAAAACATCATCTGTCTGTACATACACAATGGGAGATATCTAGCTAAGTGTAAAAATGTTGATTTATGTTGACTACATCAGTGGTTTCCAGATCAATTTTTCAGAAACAAAATAAGAATCAAGGCTGCCAACTTTTTATTGGTTAAGAACACTAAAAGAAAATAAAATCCCATTACCAATATCAAAAGAAACTTAACACCTACTATCACTATTATTTAATAAAAGCCATTTTGAACATTAGAAAAACAGAACAAAATCTCAAATAAGAATCCCCTGAATTACATAAATATAACTTGAAAAGCCACATAACATTTCTCTCTCTCTCTCTTTTGCTTTGAATTAGCAAAGACAATTACTGCTGTTAGAGAGTTGGTACAATTTTAGACTTTAAACACAAGTGTACGTCTTGAAATAAGGAAAGGGACTATTTCACTGCACTTTGCATTCACACCATAACTGCAGAATTAAATATGGAAACAAGATCAGAACACAAATAGCACTGACAAAACTGAGTGAATCCAGCTGAGAGACGTGAGGATGGCAATGGAAGTCATATGAAGTTGCAGGTGTTGTAACATTTAGACAAAAGAAAATCTAGCTAATATATTGAGAAAAACCTTACTCTGTCTTACTCCTGAAGACTGAATTGCAACCAGTGAGAAGTTATATGGTAAAAGCAGCTACTAGCTCAATGTAAGTAAGATCTTCCTCTTACACTTTTTGAAAGCTGAACAGCGTTTCCTATGTCTAGGGAAGGGTTATAGAGAAGTTGGATCCAATTACATCTCAGAGTAGTAAGTGGCACATTGTATGAGCTGACTTCTAAAGTTCCCTTCAATTCTAAAATTTTATGAACCAGAGTAAGGAAATAAGTGGTACCCTTTTACTTACTAAAAAAGATGAGTAGAAAGAATTTTGGCTTGAGCCAAAAAGACAAAGGTTCAGTTACAGACTCTATCACTTAAGTAATGTGTGACACAGAGGCAAAGTTATTCACTAACTCTATGCCTCAAATTTTCTCAATGTGTAAAAATAATACCTTAATTTAGAAGTCTGCTGCATAAATTAAATACACACATACCACACACACATACACTTCCTGGCACTTAGGAGACGGTTAATATATAGCAGGTATTATTCAACTATTCAATAAACATTGTGTTTCAGAGGATAATATTTTCCATATCATTTATTAATTACTGATATACTTTAAAAATGACTTGTTCTCTTCTATGTCTCAATTGTTTTTCAGACCTAAACAATGCATGCTTGAGATTCTTTTCCACTTCCATACTTTACGCAATCCCTGCTTGTATGTAAGAAAATTTTATGAGGTTTTTCTTTAATTTGCTTTTGCTGTTTTGTTTTTCCACCTTTATTTGATATGAAAGTAGGCTTTACCAGTAACATACATTTGGCTATGTCACTGGCTTTGGCTAAAACATTTCAGCTACACTGGATAATATATCCAGTTTAATCAACCGCACTACTGGACACATGTTTTTTTATCTCGCACAATGGCTAACTCATCACTGAACAATCCTTCATGAAATATGTGAGTAAATAAATCAAAACCTAGGGTATTTGAATAGAAATTTTGGTTGTTAATGAAATAAAGATGGTCTGATACTTCTTTCCATCAAGAGTATCCCATTTCTTAATGAAACAGATCAACATTGAATGCTCCAGTCAATATTATCTACTCACTAAGCATTTTTCAAATGGTATGTAACTGCTCTTTTGTCATACTCCCAGAATAATCTGCAATTGTACAGATATTTTAGTTGGCAATTAAATATGCTGTCTGTTAGATACACAGTTGAAGAGTACACTGCTTAACATACCAGTGTTCAAGACAGATGAGAAAGAAAAGTCTACCTATTAATTAGTAAAGAAAAAATATTTTTCAGAAATGTAATTTTGTGGAATAAAAATCATTTTGACCAAAAAGCTTAAGCATATACAATATTTAGTACCAGATAAGCATTATCTAACTGCAACCAGATACAATAATAAAACTAGTTTTTTCAGCAGATAAAAAAGAGCAAGAAATTGATACTTAGAACAAATCAAACAAATCACGAAGCACAATTTTAAAAAGTACCATAATAGGATCAATATGCAGAATGTATGCTAAAGCTTACAGTAAAAAAACAAAAACAAAAACAAAAAAACTCACGACCTCATGTTAAAATAGGGAACAGGCAGATTATTTCCACACAAAATAATCTCAGAACACAATGAAATTTACCAATAAAATACATTTAAAGCATGATTGCATATAATTCCACACACTGAAATTTAGTTACAGATCTTTAAAGCTGAAATTTAAGATAAACAATACATCCTTTAAAAAGGTCTATTAAAATGCAATGTAAGATGAAAACGATTAAAATTATAAGGCAAGATAAAAAGCAATTTATGGTAAAACTCAACCCAATAAAAAATATAAAGTTAATATATCTTAAAAGTTAAATTCTAAGTTGAAAGTAATCCGTTAATGATCACAGCTCATTAATTGTATCAAAATAAACATCATAGGTTCTTTTTATGCGGAAATTTTATTTTCAACACTGTCTATAGTGTTGATCATCATACTATTATAAAATACTACTGAATTTCAAGAAATAATATTAAAATACGGCTACTATTAAGTAGTAGGGAAAACACTGCAACAGTTTGTTGAAAGCACATATTAGGACATCTTTCCTCATTTAGTAAGTTACTTTATAAAACTAAAGGTCCATTTCAGGAGAATTCCTACTTTTACATGACAAAGGCAAGAACTAGATAAATACAACGGTGAGAATCAAGTTCACGGATAGTCACAGCCTACTCAAGGAGCACGTAGGGAAGCGTTCTCTACGTTTTCACAGGGTCAAAGGGGCTGGGGGACACAGGAAAGATCACTCTGCAGAGTGGGCCTTTAGTTTCATTTGGCTCTGCCTTACATGAGCAGGTTGGCTTGGGCAGACAAGTCGGTTAACTTTCTGTGTTTGAGTGTTTTCTTCTGTCAAGTGTACTTAGGCTCTTCTGTGTTATCTCCAAAGTTAGGAAGAACTAAAGGTAACCCTAGTTTTACTTTTTAAAAATAATGACAGAAAAATACATAACTTGCTATTCATCAATGTACTGTTTCCAGCACTGAATTCCTAAGTCTCTGAAGCATATCCAGTTAGGGATATACCAGTGAAGATCCAGATACTATAGTCATAATGTAACTCTCTCATCTCACATTATTCCTCCACCTGCTCCTCCCCATCCTGCTTTTTCTCTTCTGGTGTGTTTCAAGTAGCAACGACAGCAAACGGCTGTATGCGTTGTAAGCTTAAGGAGGAAATCATTTTAAAGGATGCATTTTCAATCAAATGCATCGCCTGCTTCGCCAAATTCCTCCCCAATGTCTGAATTTTCATTAAGAGAATAAAAATGAGTTAACTTCGGAAACAGATTTATACGGGGCCAGTTGTTTCGTTTGTTTTACTTGCTTAAAAAATAAAACAGCAAGATGTATCTATTCCCTCAGGAACATAAATGCATTACCCGCCCAATGAGAAAACAATTCTGCTGGTTCATTTCCCTGACACAACAGCTTCGTTGTCAGGCCCTTTCTAGCCCAGGCTCCAACGTCATCTAGTAATTTTATATTGATCACCTTGGCAGTGCTTGGACTCCAGCAGACATAGTCTGTCTTCCTTACATTCCTCAAAAAATAAAATAAAATAAAATAAAATAAAATAAAATAAAATAAAACTCTACGGAACACCACCGAACAGAGATTCTGTGACTTAGAATCAAACCCCACGTCTTCCCGCCCTGTGTTAGGAAGCTGCAAATGTTATCTTTTTGTCGCTTGCATAAAATGGAAGCGAACCGTACCCAAACCCTATATTTGAATCCTAGGACAATGAAGCCGACAGGAAGCCACTCTCTCCTCCCCCGGGTTTACTACGGAGCCAGAGCCTCCGCGGGGTGCAGTCGCCTGGCACGGGGCGCGACACCGCGTCTTCCACGCCCTCCCAACGCGTCCGAAAGGCTCCTCGCCTGACCTCGCCAACCGCCTCACACCCCAAAACCAGCCACACAAAAGGGATCGGCCCCGGGAGCTGCTCCAATCGGGGAGAAATCCCTTCCCCAGCGGCTGCGCAGCCATTCCCTCCAATGCTCCGCCCGCACCCCTAGCAAACTGCTACGGCGGAGGGGGAAGGGCTGCACAAAGCCAGGCGAAAGCTGAAATGATTCAACGCACTGAGGAGACGCCGAGGCGGCGGGCAAGGGGCTCGGGAAAGCCAGGGGCCCGCAGCACTGGAGCTCCCGGGGGCCCGCAGCACTGGAGCTCCCGGGGGCGGCGGGTGGGGGATGGGAGGGGTGGCCCCGTCAAGTCCCCGGTCCCGGGCGGGGAGAGGATCGGGGTGGCGGCGCCGCGCGGAGCATCCGGGAAGCGCCCCCTTCGCGGTCCAGCCCCGCACCCCCGCCCCGCGGCGGGCCGCGCCCGAGTCCTCGCCGCAAACCAGAGAAGCAGGATGTGGAAAAGCAGCCGCGGCGGCGGCGTCGCCCACACCGAGCAGCAGATCGCATCACTTACCCCTCACCGTGGAGAGAGGGACCGGACGGGGGAGGCGGGGCGCGTCGCGTCCCGTGAGTCTCTCGCACGCCGTCCTCCCCCGACCTCGTCGTCGTCGTCGCCGCTGTTGTCGTCGCTGTCGCTGCCGCTGCGGTCGAGCTCCGGGGCCCTCAGCTCCGCTGGGCAATAACGTTATTCCACACACGCCCCACACATAGCGGTAACGGCAAAGAGCGGCTACGTAGTGCGCAGGCGCCTCGGGAAATGGCGAGGAGCCGGACCCTATCCCCTCCTCCTGCCCAGTTCCAACGATCCCTTACTGCGCAGGCGCCAGACACAGACAATGAAAAGGGATTGTGCGAGGGTCTCACCCACTCGCTTTTCCAGCTTGGCCACTGCGCAGGCGTGCCCCGAAAGACCAGCTTGAACAATGAAGAGGACCTTGGCGTTAGGTGGGACCGCAACCAACCAGGACTACAGTTCCCAGCGGGCAGAGCGCCAACTCCAAGTGGAGGTCTGGTTGCTGGGCATGCTAGGAGTTGTAGTGTCGGTCGCCTTTACAATCTAGGCTGTTTGGAAGATTTAGAGTTTCTATTTCTTGAGGATTTATTCGACCATTTTGAAAAATATCGCAACCGAAGCAGGGTTCAGAGCTTACTATCTGCGTCCTTGAGTAGACTTAGGGATCAACTGCTGCATGTTAGCAAATTTCCAAGCGTCAAGGCCTTCAGAGAGCCCTTTCTGACATTTGGGTGGTCCAGGCAGCTGAAGGATGGGATGGAGGCGGGACTAAACCAGGCTGGGCTGGAGGAAATGGGCGGGGCCTGGAAACCTGTCTCTTGGCAACAGGCTCTGGCCGCCAAACCGTCCAAGCTAGCGCCCGTGGCGCGGTGGTCTCTGGGAATTGTAGTGTAGCTGGAAGGCTCTCAGAATTGTCAAGCTTGCAGGCTCTGCACCTGAGGACTACAACTCCCGACGTCCACCGGGAGGGCCCGTGGGTGGGAATAGCCCCCAAGAGCTCCGTGCGGGATTCTAGGCTCCCCTGTGACAGCCGCGGCAGGAAGCGGGCGGGCGCTCCCCGGCCACCGGCCTGTTGTTCTCGGAAGCGAGAAAGCTGGACATTTCCCCCCGTAACTCCCAGCTCTGAGCCTAGAGTGTGAATGGCGAAGTCCCCGGAGAACTCTACCCTGGAGGAGATTCTGGGGCAGTATCAACGGAGTCTCCGGGGTGAGTTGCTCCAAACCTGTGTTCCTAGTCCCGAGATGCCCGGGGCCTAGTGGGCGGGAGCAGACCAGGTGCGTTTCCTAACACCTGTGTTCTGCCCCAGCTAGGCTACAGAGGAGCAAGATGGGTGTTGCTGTGATCTTTTGAGGAGGATGAAATAGTTTGAGTTTGTTTTTACAGTTAAGCAACGTTGTTTCCTTAGATTCCCGTAGTTACCTGAACCAACTCCTTGATCTTAACTTGGGCATGTTTCTCAACCAGCGACGGCAGAAACTCTTGGATGCCACTTTTGCCCAGTTCCCATACTTTGCTGTTTAATCCAATAAAAGTCATATTCACAGTTTTTACACATTTAAAGTATGGCATAGTGGATTGAATGTGATTTGTAGGATCAGTGTGTGTGTGTGGGGGGGACACATAATTATTTTAATCACTACAGCCCCCATTTAATTGGGCTAGGCTATTTGTATTCAATTAATCATTTGCAGCTGAATATGTCTAGTTTACACATGGGGAAATCGAAAGCTCAGAGAGGTTGAATTACAGGCTAGAGCCCACAGCTAGTTAGTTGCAGAGTCAGGTATTATCAGGCTTGTCTGCCTTCAAAGCTTATGTTTGTCTTTACTAATCAAGCCGTAATTACTATTATCAAAACCTTATTAATTCAGATTTTCTTACTACATTACCCTATGAGCAAGTATCTGTACAGGTAATGTCTGTACTTTATTTATTTCCCTTTCAGCTCTGTTGGACTTAATAATGTCTGTACTTTTAGATGGCGCTGTTACCTTGGACAGCATATATAACATCTAGAAATTTCGATTCTGTTATAATGGAAGTTATGGAATTGTCCACAGCGTTACTGTGGGGAGCAAATGAAATAACGCCCATAAAGCAGTGATTTTAAGACTTCTTAAAATGTTTACCTATAGTAAGAAATAAATTTTATATGTGGCATATATGTACATATAAACTATGTTTCACTGAAGAATTTTTATTCTACTAAGTGTAATAAACTCTGCTTTCCATTCTGTTGCATTTTCATAACCCTCTAGGTTATGGCTATTTACGACATTTAGAACACTTAAGTTATGCAGCATATGGTGTACTGAGTAATATGCCTACTATGTGTCAGTGCCTACTATGTGTTAAGCATATCAGGTGCTCGACATGCAGTAAGGAACAAGACAAAGTTCCTATCGCCATGGAGCCTCTAAATTAGTTGGGGAGAAAGGCAATAAAAAAAATTATAGATTACTATGTTAGAAAATAAGGGTAGAGATCAGTGCTTAGTAGACAAGCACTCATTAAATGTTGTTATTTATGCTTGATACTTAGAGCAAAGTGAAGATTTTTAAATATTAGAAAGTTTATATTCTCATCACTCAAGATTTTATAAGCGTTATTAAGTATTGTACGTCTGTCAATTGTGTTACAAACTGACATTCTCAGTATTCACACTGCAGGAGTAAAAAAATTGGTCTTAATGAACACCTTCCTCAACCTACTGATGTTTCAAGAGCTGTTAGATACGAAATAAGGACTTCTAACTTTTCATTTGGAAGCAAGAAAAATACTATGCACAATGATATGAGTAATTTTTGGCAATTTTTTGTTTTCATTGAAAGTTTTTCCTGATGCTTCTCTTCCTTTGACCTTATTTTAAGCCTTTATGTAATTGTTGGAGGCTATTTAACATTAGGCATTTTTACGCAATAAAGGGGTTCATTTTAAATTAATGTTATAGTAATATGTTTAATACTAGTGGTACTGCTTTCAATAATTACAGAATGAAGAGTTTTCATTCAAGGATAATACATTTTTTAGTTTGAAGTAAAATTTAAATTTAGTGTCATAACAGTATAAGGTAGTGGAGACATTGCACCAAGAGGAAATATAAGGGATAGAAAAAGTTAAACAACTTTTTAAAAAATGTAGTCATAATTTTAACAATGAATCAAGAAATGTAGCCTGAAATGTTTATGGGTTTTTCAGGACATATTATTTATTTAGTAGCACTTTTATTTTTGTATGTTACCTTATATAACAACTTCTGGAAGGAAACAAAACAGAATTAACCCTGAACTTAAATACAGTCAGAAGTTCTTCACAAATATAAGTTGACATTTTTGAGTAGCATAATTTCCTGTAATTATTTATTTAGAGATGGAGTCTTGCTCTGTCCTCAGGCCGGAGTGCAGTGGTGCCATCGTGGCTCACTGCAGCCTCTCCCTCCCGGGCTCAAGCAATTCTCCTGCCTCTGCTTCCCGAGTAGCTGGAACTATAGGCCACCATGCCCGGCTAATTTTTGTATTTTTAATAGAGACTGGGTTTCGCCATGTTGGCCAGGCTGGTCTCAAACTCCTGACCTCAAGTAATTTGCCCGCTTCAGCCTCCCAAAGTCTGGGATTGCAAGCATGAGCCACCGTGCCCTGCCAATAATGCCCTTTAAAGCTAAATATTGTTTCTTGATAAGCAATGGTGGAGTTATGTGGAAGTTCCTTATTTTGAGTGTGCCTAATAATTTAATAATTTTATTACTATGTAGTAAGATAAAATGTAGTTTAAAGTTCTATGTCTTATTTTGTTTTGGTTTTGTCTATCCAGCATTACTTCCTCAAAATGTCTTGCCTAGTGTATGATTAATGGAAGCCTAATAAACATTATTGGTTTTTCCTCACCAGTTTTCCTCTGGCTTGTAAGTAACGTAGTCACTACTAATAACCCCTCATTTATATTTAGCTCGGAAATAGCCATATAAAAATGCAAAATACTTTTCCTGTTTCCTTGATAGTATTTCCATTTTAAAAAGATCTTTTTCTCATTTCTTTAATTTTGGTTCTATTATGATATTATTATGGAATATCAAGATTTTGAAGTTCTAATGGGAAAACCAAATTAGCATTTACTTTCTTGCCTTTTTTTTCCTGTCTTTTTTTCGTTTTTGGAGATGGAGTCTTGCTCTGTTGCCAGGCTGGAGTACATTGGTGGGATCTCAGCTCACTGCAACCTCCTGCCTCCTGGGTTCCAGTGATTCCTCTGCCTCAGCCTCTCAAGTAGCTGGGACTGCAGGCGTGTGCCACCACTCCCGGCTAGTTTTTTGTATTTTAGTAGAGATGGGGCTTCACCGTGTTGGCCAGGATGGTCTTGCTCTCCTGACCTCGTGATCCACCCACCTCGGCCTCCCAAAATGCTGAGATTACAGGTGTGAGCCACTGCGCCCTGCCACTTTCTTGCTTTTAAAATGAGATCCCTGACTCTCCTTGACCCTGATGATCTTGGAGCAGCTCCGCATTCATCTTTCATCTATCCCCTTACACTTTTCAGTGTACTTGCTGTTTGACTTCTCAAAAGATATCTCTTGCTTTGGGTCACTTATGCCCCTTTACAAGAAATTGGAGATGTTTAACGATTCTTCTTCAAACGAGAGTTCTGACAGAAAAACCAGAAGGCTTTGTTGCCCCCCTCAGATCTGTTATATTATTCCTGCATAGTAAATGGTCTGAAAGTTTCCAGTGTGGTTACAAGTATACATATCCTGGATATCCTGGGAGCCACAGAATTTAATCTAGAATTGGAAGTGATTTGGGAGGTCTCTTGGCAGTATGGTTAGGTGTTCATTTACTCTATGGCCAAGAAAGAGTGAGAAAAGCCACAATCACAGGCAATCCAGGCTCTGTTTTAAGTACTGCACACTTGAGTGTAAGGGGATATCAGAAAGGAGAGAAATTGCTAGAAATGTAGTATGCTAGTCTTAATAACGGAATCATGTCTCATCTCTTGCTGCAGGGTTGGGAATAGATACAATTTTATCAACAACAGCTGTATACATGACTTACCTGTTCACCTGATTCCCAGCCACCTTTGGTTGGTTGGGTATAAGGGAAAACAAAACAAACTTCTTGTATGACAGGAACTCATAATTTCTTTTTTACATACATTTTGCATTCTGTTTTTACCCTTTTCTTTCAACATTTTGGTGTTCAGTCTTCAGATGAATTTATGGGAAGAGTGTGGTAGAGTCAGAGGAGAGAATGTGGAACTAGGAGCCGTGTCACTCACCTAACTTTTGCTTTACTGATAATCATCTGTGTAACTTTAGGCAAGTTAAGGAAACTGTTCTTGGATTCCTATTTCCTTATCTATAAAATGAAAAGTTTGGACTGGATGTGAGAATTCCTGCCTTTAGTGCCAAGCAAATGATCAAAAGGTGTGATGGAATCAGTGCAAGACACTAGGGAAATGATGAGGCTTATGGCTAAATTAGGCAGTTTCTGCATTTTTTTTTTCTTTTTTTTTGAGGTGGAGTCTCACTCTCTCACCAGGCTGGAGTGCAGTGGCGCAATCTCAGCTCACTGCAACCTCCACCTCCCAGGTTCAAGCAAATCTCTTGTCTCAGCCTCCCGAGTAGCTGGGATTGCAGGTGTGTGCCACCACGCCCAGTTAATTTTTGTATTTTTAGTAGAGACAGGGTTTCACCATGTTGGCCAAGCTGGTCTTGATCTCTTGATCTCATGATCCGCTTGCCTCAGCCTCCCAAAGTCCTGGAATTACAGGCATGAGCCACCGCACCTGACCAGTTTCTGCTTTTCCTAAAAACATTTTCTTTCTTGCTCCCTCCCTCTTTGCTTCCTTTATTTCTCTATTTCTCTCTTTTCCCCTCTTTTCTCCCTCTTTTCTTCCAAGAAGAAGCCAAGCAAAACACACCCAGAGCCTGATTCCCCTTTGGACACCACTCTCTGACCCTTGGGTCATTGATGTTCCTTCCGTCAACACTTGGTTGGACCAGATGAATGATAAGGGCTATGTTTTTGTCTTATGGAAATGAGGGTAAGGAGTTGAGTCAGGTACATAGAAAACGAGAGGAACGAATATAGAAAAAAATATATATAATCTCAGGGGTGGGCTTTGTCTTTATGAATTGATCTAGTTCAAGGAAACCAGAGATAAGGTTGACTTTCTATGTTTTACTTGTATATGGGTAGCACATCTATCCAAATCCTGCAAAGTGGAAGGACTCACAATTGTAGAGGGACTTTGTTAATCTTACTAGCCAATAATTTGGTCAGTGTGTTGGCCAGCGGTGATATCATCTGGATCTTTGGCTGACTTAAGAAAATATGTGTGTAACTCAAATAAATGTTCCTGTTTTCTCATAAAACTTGTGTTTCTTTTTTCTTCCTTTTTGCTTTTCTCATGTTTTCTGGATTTTTAAATATTCTTTGCTATATACACTATATGAATATACACACATAAACATAAGGGTGTTTTTGCTGATAATATTCAAATATACATATTCATTTTTTTGTTTTATATACTCATGTGGCTTTTCTTTTTTCTTTTGAGAGAGGTTCTTA